TGTAAGTCGATTGCTTTCAAAGCTTTGCAATCAACCTTTTGGTCACAATACACAACATTCAAAGCTTACTCATGGGCTTCCTTACAGTGAGACCTATTTGATCAATTACTTCTAGTTGGTCATTTAGAAGACTAGCCCACTTTGCTAGTATACACGATTAAAACCCAATTTAACTGCTTGTTTATTTACCATTTTCAACTTGTAAGTCGAGCGCTTTTGCTTCGCCATCGACCTTACCCTAAACCAATAGGACCTTCTTACCATTTGGTTCAGTCCTAAACGATCTCATACGCAGATTTAAACCTCGATTCACATCGAGTACTTTCTTCAAACCAAATCAATATACTTAACTATACATAAACAAAATTTCATAAAAGATGAAAAGGGAGTAGGAATGGAGTCTTCGATTCCTCTCCTCAATTTTTTGGGCCTGAGGAGCCTTTCTTAAGCTGGAACAATTGTCTTCTAAACCGATAAATGAAATTAAACCTATTTTCTCAACACTTAGATGGAAAAGAGAGAGAGTTAAGTCTTTGACTCATTATCCCGATTACTTGGTGTTGCACCCCAAGTTTTGACTCCTAGATCTTCATCATCATTATAGGATCATCTTCATCTGTTTATCTAACCTTAACCTATTTCAAATTTGTCTTTGTCAAGATACAAGTGAATTAGGGTTCCATACAGTCAGGAATCGAGGTTTCGATGGTTTGATCAGTCAATGTCTTGGATTGATTCTCCATTAAACAAGTGTTTACATCATCAAAGATACTACATTGGGTTAAGTATGAAGCCAATTTGAGGTTGTCACCCAAAGATCAAGAACAGTGCAGTCCAGGACACCCGATTACGGTTTCTAATTAGGAAAAGTCAACTATAGTTTGACTTTTGATTTAAAAGGCATTACAATGATGGAATCATGGTCCATGAAGCTCATTTGACTAAGTTAAGTCCACCCAAGAAGTTTCAAGACCTCAAAAGATCCAGAACATCAACAGTTGATTCAGGGTTTTTCGATCGATCGGTTCGTTTGACTAAAACGTCAAGTCTTTGACTAAAAGGAATTTGACCTCAAAGTTGGAAGAAAATATGTTACCAATAACATATTACATCTATTCATGAAGTTTTGTGACCATTGGATCAAGGATTGAGGAGTTATCGAAAAAGTCGGGAATTAGGGTTTTGAAAGGGGCAAGACCATAACTTCCTAATCACACATCCAAATGAGGTGGTTCAAAGCTTGTTGGAAAGGTCTTGGCAAGCCCTACAAAAGTGTAAAGGTGACCTATGGGAAATAAATGCATAGATTTGGATTTATAGTCAAAATCATCATAAGAGGGAGAAAACACTTGTGAAATTCTAAGTTTTTGGCACTTTTAAGACATGTTTTCAGCCAACTTAAAGAGATTTTTTGACCTAGTTCCACTTAGAATTTGAAAATTCAGTAAACATGAAAGTTGTAGAGCATAATGAGGGCTTTCCAAAAAGTACAAGAACTCCTCCATAGCCCTTGTGAGCTGAGAGTTTCGAAGGGGACACATTGGGTTTAAACACTTGATTGTCATCATGTCCAAACTCATTATAAACTTGATTTCCAACTATCTACTTGAGTTTGAACCATGGAATGACCTCTGATATGATGTGTTGGAGTGTATATTTAACTAAATCATAAAGGTACCCAAGCAAATCCAAAGTTCTATCCAAGATCCATTAGTTTAATAAGAAAAAGTACAAAAGGTACACCATGAGAGAGAGTGTTTGTGGCTGCAGCATGGGAGGGTGTCCTTACTTACTCTTTGGTCACTTCCCACAGCTCATTGTTAGCTGGTTTTAGGGGTCTGAACACCTTGAAATCAAGCAAAACCTATAGAGCCAAAACTATCATGGGATTTGCTAAGATTTTCAACAAAACCACTTAAAAACCACTTGTGCAAATCTGTCCTACCCTCTCATTTTGCCTATAAATAGAGGCTTCCTCTATGATCATAAACACACCAGATCCCTCTAAACCCAAGAGAAACTCAAATCTCTCATTCTATCTTGCTTTTCTTGTAAGTGAAGAAAGTCATAAAACCACTAAAGTTGCCTTGTGCAAGTTTCATACCAGCTCCATTTCTAACCATTAAACCACCATAATACTATCCACATAAACTCAAAATCATTATTATAAGGTGTCCTAGCCTTTGTTTTCATCAAAAACACCATAAATCCACAAGTTAACTTCTCACTCACTTAAGTTTGACTTTTATGCATAATATGGAACAACTCACTACCTAGATCAATTTGCACCACTTTGACACTTTGAACACCTTCTATTTATGTCATACTAACTGTCTAAGACCTTAAACAACAACTGGAAATCCATTTTCTTAAACTGTCCTCAAGAACTACTTGTTGCTTCAAAAGGAAGAAACTTCAAAGGCTTGCATCAAAGGAAGGAGATTTGGCAGCTAGTTCATTGTGGGAAGACTACAAGAGGTATGTGATCCTAAACCTTCTC